ATGTCCGCCAGTTTGCTAATGAACATCGATTTAGTCTATGGAAGGGCGGAAGGGCGGGGAAGGGGGAGTTGAGGCCAGTTTAGAATACGGATGCTGTGCCATGCGATACGTGGCAGGGCGTAATCGAAATCGGAATTTAAATTGACTCATTAAAACGTGGAAAAAGCGGGCCGCATGACAATTAAACAAACGTTTGCCACGTTGCCCCAACAACGGCATCAGACGCCGAGGACGACAAGGACGATAAAAACGACGGGGACGACGACGACGACGACGGCAGCGGCACCAAACTTGAGGTCATTAGTTAATTTGCCAAGCCATTTCGATTGTTTTTTTGCCACTGCTGTTGTTTTTGTTGTTATTTCTATGAAGTTGCCGGCATTGTCAAGGACGATGACTGCGTCGCCATAGACGCCGCCTCTAATTTATGTCTGCCAAAAAGTTGGGTGCGTGTCGCGCCGCAATCTGCCCGGGCTATTACATTTTATTGAGCTTCTGATTTACACACAACGCGCGCATCAATTCAATTTGCCACAAAAAATTCAACTTCAAACGTCTACACTTGAAAAAGTGATGAGCTGGCCTAAACGTCATTTTATATTTAAAATTATTACATTTACGGAGAAATAAAATAAAATCAGCAATTTTAAGTACAGAAACTAAACTATATTAAACTGAAACTTCAAACAAATCAAGGACAAAAATGAAGAATTAATTTTAGGAAGCATTGCGCGATGTGGGAGATGAAAAAGGCTAATCGTCTTAAGGTTTTCAGTAATAATGTCTGCCCTGGTCGAGAAATACTTTCTTTGATTCTCAGTAGTGAAGAGCATTCAAAACTTTGCAGAAATAGTATTGAAAATCTGAACAAAACATTACTCCATTTTTTTTTAGAATAAAATATTATGGTGCCCGTTTGCTTCAAGCTACCTTTAATTCTGTTCACACGCTTTAATAAAATATCATATTTTTTCAATCACAATTAATATGCAAACAAGAGCAAAATCACAGCAATAATCCGTGCAAACATAATTAATTATAATATGTAAAAATTCCATGCATATATTATACCTTAGGTTAAGTAAAGAAATAATAATAATAATTGCAATAAAAAAATTAAAGCTATTGGGTAACCATTTGAACATACACGGCAAATTGTAAACGAACAAGCTATGGAAACATAACAGTACATTGTAGAAAACTTTGGTTAAACATTTTTATTTTTAACCTTCTAGACTGATGATTTGATGATTTACAAAATTATTGATAAACGTATTCCATATCTATAGCAAAGATTAATTAATAACTCCTCCAATAATTTTTATAAGAATCATTCAAAATTTCTTTATAGAGAATTCCAACTATTTGTTTGTTGTTTTCCAAAATTAAAAAAAAAAATATTGGTACCTAATATTTAGAATTGTAGAAATTATATTTATTATTGAGAGAATGTGTGTTTTTTTTATGTATGACTTGAAAAGCTAATTACGAATAACAATTAATTCATAACCGATTCATGTTTTATTGAAATTATCTTTAAAGCGAATTTCAAACATTCTATTGTTGTTTTTCAGAATGAAAAGAAACTTCGGTGCTTATTAATGTGGAGAATATAGAATTCTAGCAGAGCATGTGCTATTCATCTATATACATGCCTTGAAATGCTAATTACTGATAACAATTAATATAGTCAAGGGTATTTAAATGCTTAGCAATGCAACTGGAAGCAATGCCAGAATTGTATATTTGCGGCTAACTTATTGTTTTCAGTGTATCGATGTCTGTTGTGACGCGTGCGTTTGGCTAATCACACGCCGAAGCCGAAGCCAAATCAAACTTTTCCGCTGAAACAGGAATTTAATTTTCACACGCTGTGGGCACAGAAATCAACTACAACAATAGCAACAACAAGCGAAAACGACTGGGCCGGCTCATAAAAATCAATATGAGGGCGCTCCTAAAAGCAGGCTACAGAAATGTTGTTGCTGTGTAGAAACAAAAGCAATGCCGGCCAACCAAATATTACAGCAACAATAACAATGGAAACAAAGCCAACAATGGCAAGCGAATAAATCACGTGCATAATTTCGTTAGCGTTTTTTGTTATGCAATTTCTATTAAAGCCTTTTTTCGATACAATCCAACAAATGGGGCGTGTCCGTAGGGGGCGGCCTTCCGACGTGTGGCAATTGCAGCTGTGAAAAGCAGTTGTTGTTGTTTTTGCAGCCATTTTATTTACATTTATTGACCGCACGGCAACGTTTGGTTTTGGCTCTGGTTCTGGCTCGTTTACCGGCATTTTGTGACTGTGTATTTTTGCGCATGTGTGTGTGTAATTTGGAGCACGTGTGAATAGTTTTCCATTATGGGATGGCATGAAACCGAAAAAACGATTGGCCGATAAGAGTTAGTAACGTAAAAGTGTTCAGATAGGTTTGAATGCGCCACGAAAGAGCCAAGTGTTGAGTGAATATGGAGTTGCATTTAGCAATATGTATGGATGTTACATCTATTCGATGCTAGCCTAGAGCATCTCCTAAACTTGAAATTAGATATTAATCACAGAAATTTAAGTCTGAGCTTGAAGCAAATAAGAACTTACTAAAAATCTATCCCACGCTCACACTTGCTTTTGTGTTTGTTCAATTTATAACGATTTTACAATGATTTATTGTCCATGCCAGACATATGTTTTTCTTCTTCTTGTCTTCAAATTAGTTTGTCATAAATGAAATAATTAATCGTCAAGTTTATTTAACAAATTTAATGATTGTCGACGATGGACAAGCACTCTGCTAATACAAAATATGAGTTTGTTTGATTTAATCTACTCTTTCTACAGTTTTGAGCTGCAGAGACCGTTTCTTAGGATAAATATAGTATATTATCAGCACGACGAGACGAAGCCAAATAATGATGTCTTCATATTAGTTTGCTTATTTTAATCTAGTCTTCCTACAATTTTGAAACTCCGCAGAGATCCTTTCTTAGGATGAACACATCTCTATAGTATAATAGTATGGCAAGAACGACCATCTCCCATTAAAATATCATATAACTGCTACATTTCGCAGGCGATATAAAAAGCTATCTAATTAAAAAATGTGGCAGTTCTAACAGACTATTCAGGGCCTGGCTTATAGTTCTAACATTAACATACATTTCATTTCGTCGTTTCAAGCATTGTTTTCAATTTTTAATACGTGTTTTGTAATGTTTGGTCAAGACCAGGGACTCTGCCTTTTTCTCTTGCCACAAACACTATGGAGAATGCAACCACAAGCCTTTACGCCCACAGCACAAGCCGCAAACACAAAAACCACTTAAAATTTCATATGGGCTTGCGCTTCCACACGACCTGTCCCGTCTCATTTGAAACTGAAATTCATTTCGAATTTACACACACACACACACACATGCACATACGTGTGTATATATTTAACACAGATGTGCCAAGTTGGTCGCAACTGACCACCAGCGACCAAAGTATAAAACCAAGGGACGGGCAACTAGAGCGAAAACTCGGCTTTGATTTGTGGCATGTGGCATGTGGCATGCAAATGCGTTGCGAAGGCAACATTTTTCGTTCAGCCCTCGGTGAGATAATTAGAAACCGCGTTGACAGCTGGGTCAACTGCTCGGGTGCACAGTTTTCTCGAGCCGCAAATAAAATGCCGCCCCCATAACATACCTCGTATACCCATTGCAATGTAATTTTCCCTAGCTTTTCCTTTGACCTTACCCCGCTCCTTGTCCCCGGAGACGTTGCGATCAAAGGCAGCCATATAATTACTCAAGTGTGCGTTGTAATTACGTTACCCATAATCAATTAACTGTGTCATTATGTGACTACTTTGACATAAGTATGACGAGCAACTAAATATAAGTCGCCTAACGGCACTATATGTTGAATTTAATGCATTTAATGAAAAGACAGTCGGTGTGGGCTTTTTTATCATTCATAAATTTTATTCGCTTTTTATTTAATCTATTCCATTTCTGCGACTTAGGATCTTTCCACTTATTTTTTTTTTTGTTTTTTTTGTTTCGTAATATATATATATATATATTTTATGTACACATAAGTATATAGATCTTTAGTCTGATACATTTTAACTAAACTGTTCTTTATGGCTTATAATTATTTGTTCTTCTAACAAACTTCTTCTTCTTCTTCTTCATCATCTTCCATTTATTTCACTACGCAGGACAACTTCTCGAGACTTCTTAGCTACATTTACAGTTAACAGCTGCTGCTTCTTCTTCACCTTCTAGTTACTATGTACAGCAATAAACTTAGGGGTACGTTCGAAATTTTGTAGGATCTTTCATTCTTTATGCTATACAATTTAGCTTACGCGTCTATGCTAAAACATTTACTAAGTAATACGTAATTTAAGTTCTATTTACAACTCGGGCGCACCCACATGTAATTATTATTATTATTCCAAAATTTGCGCTACAAAATATTTTCTATTAAATGTTTGAGTCTTTTTAAAGTTGCCTTAACTTAAATTTTGGAATATATTTTGTTTTTCAAAACATTTGCACAACTTTTTTTGAACAGCTTGTGAAATGTTTATGGCGCACAGTTGCGATTTTCATTTGATTGCAGGCTGAACAATTTATGGACTTAGAAATGCATTGATGTGATTTATATAAATGCAATAGAAAAAGATTTATCGATAATTAGATTTTGTTTATAGAGTTGCTTCGCTTGTGATAAGAAACTATAACTGTTTTATGAATATATTGAAAATTTAACTTTTCTGCTCGCTGCTGAAAATGCAAGCACATAAATTATGGAAAGCGTTAGTTTATTTTCTGAATTTTCGCTTTTCATTTCGAGTACTGTTTCAACTTTAATTTGCAGCAAATTTTAGATTTCCATATACAAGTATGTAGTTCTCTTGAATTCTAAAGATTCCGACACAAATGGTGACTCTTCCATAAAGCATTTATTAAAGCAGTTATTTTTTATTTGGCTAAAATGTCGAATAACAATTTGATGGTAAATCTTATATTGAAATAATATAAAGCCAAGGATGAAACTAACTGAAAGCCGAAGTAAAACTTTTCTTTTAGACAAAGAAGCAGAGAACGTTAAGAATATGTTTCGGTAAATGCATTTTGCTTTTGGAATACAATCGGGCTGAACAGCTGGGCATAACAAGTGCTTTTTTAGGCTTACAGAAAGTTGTCGAGAAGGGTCAGACGGGAAAATAAAGTGAATATAAATTGGTTGTTTTTCTTGCACGTCTGACCATAGCCTGTTTCCATTCAATAACATTTTTTAATCCTGCTGCTCAACGAATTGTAGACATTATGATATAAACGTTGATATGCCATTAAATCATAGCACATGATTTCTCATGCGTTGCAGATATGCAGAAAGATATGGGAGACTGTTGTTTGACAATGATCGATCGTCAAGGTAGAGCGCAGCACACGCTAGTGGCGAACGTACAAACATATCTGTATATTTATTTATGTACAATTTAAATGTAAGCACATACAAACATACAACTAGCCTAACAGCTTACGGTTTAGTCCAAACACCTATTTATATATCTATATATATATATGTGTGTGTATTGTAAATACCAAAAGAGCCGCCTTAGACACAGCTTTCGGGCACGCGTTGCGTCATGAGGCAATCCTTAATCGCATTTATATTGATGTTGTCATCCAAGTCCTGCGACGAATTGCAAGAGGTTGTCGTTGTCGAGTTATTGGCGGCACCGACCACGCCCATGACGCTGCCCGCGCTGCTGCCAATGCCAAGAAGACCGCCAGAGCTGCCCAGCAGCAAACCTACATTGGATCCCGAGGAAGCTGAGGAGCCAGCCGGCAGATGATGGTGCAGTCCCTGCTGCTGCTGCTGGTGCTGATGCTGATGCTGCTGATGATGGTGATGTCGATTGAGTGTGGCACTGTGACCGGCTTGTTGCAACGGATGATGCAATCGACTGCTTCCATAAGCAGAAGCAGCGCCCCCAGCCCCGCTGTTCATCAGGCTATTCAAGATATAACCACCGCCACTGCCCAGTCCTGGCGGCAAGGTTCCCACCCCACTGCTATGCGACTGCAGATGGGCGGCCAGTGTGGCCGTCGATGAGAGCGAGGTGGGCGACCCAATAATGGTGCCACCCAGCCCCAATGGCTTGCCACCCAAGCTGCCCATCATGCTGCTGGTGGGCGAGATCACGGTGCTGCTGCAGGTGCCACCACCGGCAGCAACCACGGCGGCCAGCAGCTGAGCGCGTTGGGCATTGATTTGATTGTACGTGACCGGTGCACTGGAGGTTCCATCGCTCGTCCCCGAGCCTGATGCCGTCGTTGTGCTGCTCAGTGCGGCTGGTGTCTGCAATGTACCAAATAGAATTTGACGCATTAGAGCCAAGCATTGAGAAAGCAAGTGGCGCCCAAAAAACATGCCACAGAAATCAAATAAATAGATTCACGTGTCAACAAGCACATAATGCTTCCATTTCTTATGCACAAAAAACGGGATAAGTGATCCACAAAATGTAGTACTTTTTTTTGTCAAAATAAAAATTATTTTCTTTTGTGACCAGTGTGACCCATACTGACCAATAATTGGTGTTAACATAGCTCCATTGATCGAAGAGTTGGATAATATTTAAATGCATTGAAGCCATTTTAGACTGATTATATTTGTTTTTCCTAACAGAGTTAATACAAGTTTGTAAAAATATATTAAAATCATATTTGTAATTCTATTATTTATCTCTTCAGCATAAAACAGGAGCAGAGTTGCAGTAAACTGCTTTTCCATAGAAAGTGGAGGTAACACAAAATATTTAACAGAAAAATGTTAATAAAAAGAATCAAGCAACCTTTTCGAAAAAAAGTTTAAAAAGAAGTGAACTTTACAGAATTGAAAATTTTAATGAAACAAATCAAGCAACCATTTCGAAGAAAAAGTTTGAAAAGAAGTGGACTTTTTGGTGAAGAATTTGGGGGAATAAAGAATACTCTACTAGCATAATTTCTTTTATAAATGAATCGAGGTAGTTTTTTTTTGGGAATCCGACTGCGAGAAGGTTGTGGCCATTGAAAATTTTGTTGTTTGTTAATTAATATTAATAATTATTATAAATATTTTTTAAACTTTGAAATACATATAAAAATATATACAAGTATATAAATAAAATAATTTGTATTTAAAACCTACAAGTGAACAAATTCTTTTTTTTTTTTTTTTTTTTTTTTTTTTTTGATTAAACGTGTTGCAGAAGTTTCTTAAAGTCGCTTTTCCTAAAATATATGTATTTTGAAAAATCGTATGTCCAGGCTATCTTTGCTCTCGAGTTAGCTAAGAAACCCGATTTAGAAGATGACGCGGCTTAATAACAATTGTTATTACCTATATAGAATTAAATATTAATCGCTGAAATTTTATCCAAGCTATGGAAGATAGTCAAAATATAGAGACAGAGTGGGTCAAATAAATATGAAAGAGTAAAATATATATATCCTATATAAAGAAGAACATAATAAGTTCAAAAGTTTTCAATAAAAAGAACTGAAAACCTACTTTTACAGAATCAATTAAATCTATATTTGACATATTTGCTTAAAATCTATTTGTGTTTGGAGAAATGTTTATTCCTATAAAGTTAAATGCATACTTAACGCTGATGATGTATAATAACATCGAAAATGACAATAAAAATGTAATCTCGCCCAGTTAATGATAAATCATTAAATATTTTTATTATTTAATTTTATAAAATCAAAAAAGATCAATGCAGTCATCTATTGTTTTGCAACTAACTAACTAACAATTTCAAACTAACTTTTTCACAATTTAAAAGTCCCTCTTTTACAATTTTTGTGGAAATTGAAAACACTTTAAAAGAGCTTGCGTAGCATTTTCTTCGCTCTATATTTGTTTTCTCCCTGAAGGACAAGATCTAGGTCTTTCAGCCTTTTTATCTTTCCTCCAAGAGCTGAAAAAGTTGAACAGCCAACCAACAGCTCTACATAAATGTATTTAATATCCAGGGATCGGCCCAGGCAGGCAAAACTTTTACTGGGTAGCGGGTGTGAAAATGGAATTGAAAGCCGAGAACATATGGTATACGAGTATGTTTCTCCCCCCTTTGTGCACACGAAATGAAATCCTAATTGAAATCGCTCGATGCAATTTGCACGGCGTCCATTGCCAATAGTTGGCGAATGGAACGAACCAACCGGATGGCCCATATCCATGTCCGTGTTCGTGGTGCGTTTATGGACGGCGGCAATATTTAAAATTATTTAATTAACGAATTGAGTTATGCACAGAGGGGCAGTGTGCAATAGGTTTGGCTGGAAGGCCTGTCTGCTGGTAATTTAAATGTAATTGAAATCTCTGCAAATCCCATTTGCCAAATGCACAGCCACATCCACATCCACATCGAAAGCTAAAGCCGATGCCGCGGCCAGACAGTCGCTGTTATCTGTTATCTGTGCAATGCGAAATGAAAATCCACCGTCGCGCCACTATTGTGGGGCTGGGTCAGTTATATTTTTAATACAGATTAGGGCAGTGGTTTTAAAACTATAATCGTAATTGTATGTATATTAGAACCTTATCGTAATGCAAATTTGCCATCTAAATAAAATATAGTTTCAAATTAAATGAATAACAAAATAAAACCTCTTGACTACAATTGGACTTCATTGAAATAGAGCCCGATGCAGAATCATAAATTCAAGAGGAGCTTAAACGTTTTATATAAATAAATGAAACTACATTTTAATTTAACTGCTTATGGAGGGCAATAAGTAAGCAAAGTTGCAAAATTCTATTCGCGCTTTAAAAAAATCAATTTTGAAGTTTAAAAAGTAATTAAAAACTGGGTCTAAATGGCGGCCATTTAAATGCTATTTTAAATTTATTTCTAATTACTTTTTTTAAATGAAGTTATTTTTTTATTTTACTTTGTTAATAATTTAATTTAGCTTGGTGTGTGTGGGGCGGTTCCCAGGTATAAGCAATGGTGGTGTTATTATAATAATCCGTTCGTTTTAGACTTTTTATCCTCTTTTATTTTATCCTCTTCCACCCGAAAAAAATTAGTTAATGAAGGTACTAAATGCTTGAACGTATACTATTTGTAATTATTATACTTTCTTTATTTCTACTCAACAAATAATTAGCGGTAGCCAGGGGTACATCTCTGATTCTCTTAAAACTACGATTGACCCATATCTTATATCCATCTCGAAACCATTGCCAAAAGGTTTAGGGAACAGCAACAAACAGGAATGGAGGCTTTTTCCCCGTTTTACTCGAGGAGTATTTATTTAACTGATTGTCTGTGTTTTTTAAAGTTAGAATGTAAATTTCCATATTGCATTACAGAAGCTGAGAAGTTGCTCATTAGACTAGCTTTTTGAGATCGTTAGACCCATTTACCTAAACTATTCTTTGTCATAGAGTTTAGGGAACAGCAACAAACAGGAATGGAGGCTTTTTCCCTGTTTTACTCGAGGAGTATTTATTTAATTGATTGTCTGTGTTTTTTAAAGTTATAATGTAAAATTCTACATTACAGAAGCAGAGGACCAGCTCATTAAAAATTTCCATGCACATGGCTGCAGAAATCTCTTTTCATTCAATTCTCAATTAATTCCATTCTCCACACAGACAGATTTGTCAACTCACATAATCACGCCCCACACATTATTGTGCACGCATTATAGGGCCGTCAGACAAACTGAACACTCAGTATGTATTTTTCCCATTTTATTGCTGCAGCAATGGCGGCATTTCCAATAAACCCGAAATGAATTGATTGATTATGCGCCGCGGCTGAAAATGATGTATGGCGTTTTAAAACTCTAACATATATTCCCAGATGCGCCAACACAGACACACACACAAACACACACACACACACACATACAAACATAAATTCCCTGTTCCTCTGCTGCACACCTTACGTTAAATTAATGACGTGGGGGACTACAGCAATGCCACAGGACGTGCCGGCAGCGACATCTGCTTGAGACTCTACAGCTTTGACAGTTTAAAAGCTTTTTTTTTTTTTATATACATACACGTACAGAACACTGCTCTGTGGAAATGGGACCGAGGTTGCAAAGACAAAAACATCTAGCTCTCGCAGCTAAGTGTTGCTCGTTGGCTTGATGGGTGGCTGAGATTTCTGAAAATGTTTGCTTAGGATTTTGTTTAGCTATTTGGCAATTTTCAAATTTGATTGCTTTCTAGTGTGTCGCACAGTACTCGTGTATTCGTGTAAAAAATTGGAACAGAGAATGAAGGAATTGCAGTGAAAAGTCGATAATACTGCCATTTTCCAACCTGGCGCAGTAAAGTGGAAAAAACTGTAAATAAATCAGATGCAAAGCCAAAGCAGCACTCATTGCAACCAACTGACCAGCTCACTGTGAAAAGCATTGACGATTCCTTTACACAAAAAGCAGCTTTTCCAAGCAATTGTGATTCTATAATATGAGCAGAGAATTTTGTTGGCATTTCAATTTCTGTTGGAATAGAGAAATACCTCAACAGACAATTCCTGTTCTCCATTAGCTAAGATGTGATAGCTTCTCTCATAGTGTTAGACTCTATCCATTTTTTTTTTTTTAATTTTTATTGTTTCTATTATTTCTATAGTTTATTGAATGGCAATGTATTTTTAATGAATTTTAACTTTTCTCCACACAATTTATTTCTTATTTTTTATGGTTAATAATATATTAATAAATTAATTTTATAGTTCTTAACTTTGACTTTAAGGAATAAAGTGAATGTAGAAGAAAATATGCACATTTTCGAACTAGAATAATAATAATAGATTATATTAATGAAAAATTATTTATGATTGCTATAAAGACATATTTGGCATATTTGAATTTTCCTTAACAATTCAAAAGGGAAGTAATTAAGTTTTTTCCTTCACAATTCAAAAGGGAAGTAATTAAGTTTTTTTTTTTCTAATATGCAACCAAAAGAGTGGAGCGCAAATGAAATTGTTATGTCACAATTAATTAAATTAGTAAAATGCGTAATATATTTGGCAATCAATTGTTGAATTTAGGATAGTGTAATCATAAAAGTTTGGCTATTTATATAATCTAATACAGATGAAGTAGTAGTTGCCTATCCAATAAACGACTTTCAACAAAAACTTTCTTTACGAATCAGGCAAGCATATTGGATGTATTAATCGTATTTCTTATTCTATTCCAATTCACAAGGAATCTTTTAGTTCCTTTTTTGTTTTATGTCCGCCCTTTTGCATAGAAAATTATTGTAAAAATAAAACTCTGAAAAGGAGTAATTTGAGGAAATGCCATTTTTGATGCTCAACTTCTTCTACTGCCAGGAATTGTATTCTTCGGATACAATAAATCATAACATAAGGCTAATAATAATAATATTTACGATGGGATGGTAAAATATTTAGCATTCGAATTTAGAATTTGTTGCGCTTAAGACATCCAAACTTTTATCTACTCATCTCTGAGAATTAGCCAAAGGCGTCTGATGACTTATCTATTATTGTATCAGATAGACACTGAACAAATTTGTCCCCAGTATAACATTCTAAACATTTTGAAGAGCATAAAAAAAATACGGAATCATTTAAATGGCATATAAGCAGAAATCTTCTTGTATTCTACGGTTTAAAGTGAGGAGAAAACATCTCGAAAAATATGAAATATGTCAATTTATAAAAGCTTCAGGTACACCTCATCACAAATGCCTCTTGTGAAGAGATAAAACCATTTAAAGATTATAAAACCAGCAATATTGCAGTGATCCATGGCTAGGCATAAAAGCTAGCAGATATTTCCAAAAACGGAGCTTGTGCGGGTAGACACACTTTTCGATTTTCGTAATGTACACATGAAAAGTATATTCTATTTTTCGCTTACAAAAAAAAAAAATAAGGCCAGCACAGTAACAGTGCATCGGTCGCCCGCTGCCTCAACAATTGGTTGCCTCCGGTGTGCGGGCAATTGGCGATGGGATACCTTAAGCATCCCACTGTGCAATGCCGCCACTTTCATTTGCTTAACACTTTGAGTATTTTTTATTTGTATTTTTTGCTGGGTTGCCTTTTAATTATACTCACATTGGCATTGGGCGACCACTTTGAGACGCCACCGGCTCCTGGCGCTGCTGCTGTGGAAGTGTTGGCTGCTGCTGCCGCAGCTGCCACAGCTGTCGAGGCGCTGCTGCTGCCCGCACTGCTGCTGCCGTTGCACACATTGGAGGCATTGCTGCCACTACCGGCTCCAACGCCTCCGGCGCTGCTGATGCCGCTGCCCGCGCTGCCGCCGCTACTGCCACCAACTGTTTGATTGAAATTTATTGATTGTCGTCGTTGGCCAAGTCACATGCGGGCCAATAGTGTGTGTGTGTGTGTGCGTGTATATGTGTATATCCGCATTTGTTATACATTTGGGTTTTGCGGATCCGGATGCGGATGCGGTTGCGTTTTAGATGCGGTTGTGTTGGATTTGAATTTGGTTTTGGTTTTGGTTTTTGTTTTGCACGTTAAAAATATTTACGATTAAAAGCAAATTGCATTTGTTGATTGGATTGAGTCGCATGTATTGGCGTTGGTTTGTTGTTGTTGGTGATGTTGTCGTCGTCGTCGTCGTTGTTGTTGTTGTTGTTGTTGTTATTGCCCAGTGCGCATTGTTCAGATTGATTGCCCCAGTCAGGGTCCAAGTTGATAGCGCGACACATGCAAGTAAATGGTCATAAAATTTGATTAAAGTTTAATGGTCAAAATGCAGCCACGTACTCCAACATCCAGCCAACGTAAAAAACTCACACATTCTCTCCTCACGCACACACACATACACACACACAAACACCATACACACTAACAGTTAATTTATGACCTTACCATATTGCGAGGGTATTACATCCGGATCACGTTCGTCTTCAACTAAATCTTCCGATGATTTGGTTTTTATGTCCGTGTGCTGCCAACGCGGCTTCTCCAGGTTCGCGTTCTGCAAGTGGCCATAACAATTTGTATTTACGTTAATGCTATTCATATACTGGTACTCTGCGATTACTTTATTTATGAATATGAACTCGAGCTACATCGAAACGAGCCACTCGAAGCAATTACGTATGAATCATGGCCTTGAGCAAACACAAACTAACAACATACTTTAATGATTAGTTTCTTAATTTAACAATATATTTACTTCTTTTCTATGTTTAATATAAGCATTGATTCCTTGCAAACAAAATATTACATTTAAGCACTCAGTTTTAGAAAATATTCTGAGACTACTAATTTATACATTTTATTACAGCAGCCTTTTTTGAATTAACTTTAATAACAATTACCAGAAACAAAACTACAATTTGGAAATTTGTCATCATTAATTTTTTCATTTTTTTATTCATCAAAAAATGATATTAAAATTATTCCAAAAATATAGTAGCGAGCAGAAACTTTTGCTTTCAACAAACAGCTGTTTTCTAGAATACTTTTCATTGGAGAAAGTTGAGAGAAGAGGTTTTTAATATGAACGAGAAAATTAAAAAAAAATATTAATATATTTTTATTTATCTAGGAAACGACTTTCGCAAATGGTTGTGGCCTATTTCCTACATGAAGGATTAATACATCTTCACATTTAACTCGAATAGTACCTTTTAATTAGAAATACCCAATTTTAGGCAAACTAGAAATAAGCTGTGTTTTTATTTTTTAAGAAATGTTGGAACAAGAGAAATTGGTCCGTTTTTAAAGGACATTTTGGTGTACACGAAGTAATTTCGACCTATCCAGAAAACTATTTTCGCGATGCTTGTGGTTCATTTCTTATATTTAACTCTAATATAACTTTTAAGCAAATAAGAAATTCTATTGGCGCTCATAACATTTGAAAAGCTTTGAACTCAGTTGGGAATTCATTTTAGAGAACTTATAGCAGCACAGCTGAAGAGTAAATCACCCTTTCGACCCATTCGATCTTCAAACTCACCTTAAAGACATCTCCCGACTGGGTGGCAACTCCGGCAGCTGTTGCCTTGGTGCCGTGCTGGCGATTGCGTCGCAAATTGTGCAAAAAGGTGACCACGAATATTCGTATCGCGATGGCCAGACCAATAATTATGATGGTCAACACACTGCCGACAATCACCGGCGAGAGGGTGAGTGTCACATCCTCGTCTGCTCGAATTGTTGTCGTCATCATCACGTTGTTGTTGTTGTTGTTGTCGTCGTCGTTGTAATGGCCATTGTTGTAATTACAGGTTGACAATCGGCGGTCATAAATCATAAAATACGAGGCGGCCAAACAGATTTAGATAGATTGCATAGCCAGTTGGCATTGTTGTTGGCCATATATTACACACACACACACATACACACACACACATACACATGTATGTATTTATGTGAATCGACATACATCAAGTTGATCGTAGTGGTGCATTATATTTAGCGTTCAGTTTGGTTGAGTAAGTAATCGATTTCCATAACATAACGTGGGCGATATTTTGGCGTCAACAGCAAACAGATTTGGTTTTATTTTTGTCCAAATGTTGGTGTTAATGACATGAAAAATAGGAATTAAAGAGAATATATGAATTAATACAAGTAGATGTAAATGTTTTACGGCATTGCAATAGATTTGAAACAAATAATATAACAGCTCAATCAAATAATTTGAAAGGCAGGGAGATTATCAGCCAAAGTTGTATTGTCTAGAGTATCAGATAACTATGTTTTTTGCACTCTCTTATACTCTTCCCCTGATAAGTGTAAAGGCGTATTGATTATATAAGTGAGAAATACTTTCTTATACAAAACTAGATGCTATATATTTTAATGTAGGCCACAGACAAGGATAAGAATTGAATAACAGAAACGGTTTATATAAAATTACCAACAACAAATCAGTTACAAATATTATTGCAATTCTTTAGATATTCTTCTTGTTCTTTAACTCCATTCTTTAGATAGCAGAGGCCTTTGCCTAAAGAAACTCTCTCTATAGTTTTAAAAGTCTCTCTATATACAATTCTGGTGAAATCTTTGGTCACACATTTCCACTCCGTTGTTATCCTTACATAATCCAATTAGCTATTAATTTTAATGAAATTTTTCCCTTCTTCATTCTTGTTTTAATTAAATTGTCGTCTTTATACATTTGTTTTGGTCTTCAGCCATATTTGAGGCTGTGAATCGGGACATAGCTGGCCGGATGGAGAATCAAACTCCCCCTCATACTATATATTGCAATATTTATTTATTCTCCATTTAATATTCCGCAAAGAAACCGTACATAAGTCTGTTCTTCCTCGAAAAAGAATCAAGGTGCGGATGTTAGCCTGTTAGAGTTTTTCTTTAGAGATTTCTTATAGCTATATGGTTATCGTATCTTCGTGCCTATATTTCAGCTGAACTTCTCAATTTTATTATAATTTTTCAAAACTAAATTTGATTTGAACAAACTTCTTCCATTTCTTTAAACTTGGTGTGCCTTTGAGGCGACAAACAAACTTTCCGCGCTGGCAAAGTTTTACTTTCGATTAAACTGAAAGGCGAGAAGCTGCATCGCCTGGATAACAAATTTCTCTTTACGCTTTGTACTTAATATAATTACAAGACTTCATAATTCAAATGCATGGCGAAACAGTTTGATCAATGAGTTGCCAGCACCGCACCCTGAGATATTTACGAACTGCCTACCATACGGCACACGATTCGCACGTCAAAAAGTAACTTTACACATATTTTAAGTTGTCAGAGAGTAGGGCAGGGAAGGGTGTAGGGTGGAAGGGGAGACTCTGCTTATGCATAAGCACCGACAGCATGTAAGGCATGATTGTGGTGCATGTCAGTTGTCACAGCAGGCAACAGTTGCTAGGTAATGGTGGAGAGCGGCTGGCTATAGGCAAGAATCTGCTCGGGTATATACTTGTATACTATATGCGTACATGGAATCACAGCATGTGGAACTTATTGCTCCCCTCTCCCAACAAACACACACATTCATACTTGTGTATCCATCCATTGAAGCATTCAACCATCCATCCAGGTGTCCGTCCATTCATCCAACACAACTTCCTACATGAGCGCATGTCAAAGACAGCAAGCAGCGATCAATCAATCAAGTATGCAACAATCGTACCCTTACCCGAGACCCCTCCCCTCCCCTCCCCTCCCCTACCCACCATGCTACTATATAGCATTCATTAATGTTACGCCAGATGTCGTCCAACTCACCTGTCTTGTAAGCTGTTGAGCCAATTATGAAGTCTGGCACCAGATACGCCGCACTTCGTCCCTTCTGATTAAACGAGTATATGCGCAATTTGAGCGAATTGTTCTCCTGCGTCATCATTGAGGTCAGCGTGTCCAGATTTTCCAACGAAAATAGAGCCTCCTCTGCATTGGACAGATTGAATCTGTAAGGAAGGAAAGTTCGATATTCAGTTTATTGCTTAAATACTTGAACTGTATATTTTTTATGATGATTAGAATGGTCTTTCAGAATTCATCACAGACAGCGCCGCAGAGTTAGGAAATTAAAATTAAAGATTTACTTAAATTATTTAAAAGGGTGCATGTTTTGGAGCGTAATAAAAACCCTCCTTTCATGCGAATATACTCTTTGAATTACTCTGAATATAACCAATTTTTTATTTAAAAATTATATTACGTTTGATGATGATAACTATTGTTGATTAGAATGGTCTTGCTATATTCCCGATTCATCACAGATAGCGCCAACGAGTTAAGAAAATAAAATTAAAGATTAGCTTAAACTAGTTTAAAAAAAGTGTAAGTTTTTAGCGTAAGAAAAAATCTCCTTTCATGCGAATATACTCTTTGAATTGCTCTGAATATAAAAAAATTAGAAATTAAATTAAATTTAAAATTACATTACATTTGAACTGTATATTTATTTATGATGACTATTGTTTCTATTTCCCGATTCAGTGAAGAAAATAAAATTAAAGATTTGCACAAACTATTTCAAAAAAAAGGGCAAGTTTTGGGGCATAAAAAAAAACATCTTCTTTCATTCGAATTTACTCTTTGAATTAATCTGAAAATGTACACCAAATATATTTTCTTTTATTTAAAGTTTGCATTACATTTGACATTCGACATTTTCGACTGATTTTATTAACAAAATAAATAGCAAACTATACTCGTATATAGATAGCTCTGCACAAACTTCAATTATGTGCCAAGACGGAGATAAAAATGCACGATTACCCATCGAACCACATCCACGTCAGAGTATTGTATTAAATCAGAAATGGAAATCAATGGCATTAAGCCTTTAATCATGTGCAATCAAACGGCAACGGAACGTTGTCCGCAAGCGGCCGGAGGCGTCCGAGCCAAAAATCAAAAAGCAAACATCAACCGGAGACCAAGGACCAAAAATATTTTGGCAGCTTACGCCATTTTTACGGTCTTAGTCGGAGAAATGAAGGAACCGGAGCCAAAGCCGGGCTATCCGCTCTGGCATGTTGGCCGCCTGCTTGCGTTTTGATTTCTGGCCGCTCCAATCATGACCTCAATTTGAATTTGATGCCTTTGCCGCCAAGCTGCGGCTTGTCTGCTCAACGCCTCCAACCTCCACCGCCATCGCCGCCTCCTTCTTGAAATATTAGGGCAACCGGTGTCTATATAAATTTTGCATTATTTCAGCTGCTCTTCGCCTTTCTGGCATTTTTACAAACATTTTTACATTGATGACGACGTTTGTTGCGTTCTTCGCCCCGTTTTTTTTTTTATTGAAAGGCAGGACCGCAAATATCTTTTGGCTTTCGAATGAGGGTTGTTCATGTAGATGGTTTCTTTCTTTTTTTTTTATTTGTATTACGATTACGCATTTATTGTTCTTGTTGCTTTGTGCGCCCCATTGTTTCTTGACAATCATTGGATGCTGGGACCCCACCACACTCACACACACATCGGAGAAGAAACCCACATTGTTTTAATAAGTTAGATATATTTCAGATATTTCTGACACAAATTTATACAGAGCCATAATATTATGTGTGCATATGAATACGTTAAGAATTTGCCAGGCTTTGGGATATTCTCCAATGTTCATTATCTTATCATATTTGGGGCATAAAAATTGATTGTTCTGTGCATATACGAGTGTGTTTGATCCAAAGGGTTGCCTAATATTTTTTTATTTGAGCCAAAGCGGAAGTATAGTATTTGCTATTCTTTTCAGTCAACAGCAATATATGTATTGGAAATTATGTAAAGGAGCGGCAAAAACTATTGATAAATACTAACGTTTTTGCTTTGAAGTAACCAATGGGGACCATATCCAAAAAATAATATATTAGGGCTAAGAGTTTTGTACAGATGGGAGAAGCAGAGAACAGAATATAACGAAAGCTATTGCTACTTGAATAATTCATTTTCTGCAAATCCATAACAGTTTTGTTCTTCAAAGAAAATTTCTCTGGAGTAATTGTGGAATGAAGCTGCACCGAATTTTAATAAAATTGTCGGCCTCATAACAATAATAACTGATTTATCGCATTGGTGTTGAAATTTCACCATTAATATAAATAATTAATAATTCTTTCCAAATGCTGGTAGTCCAAGGAAACGAAAATAAGAAATAAGTTGTTTCACAAACTGCTTTTCCTAATCCAACAAAAGGCAATTCAACTAAAATCATAGTACTTAGAACAAACAACTTATAAAATATAACTTATTACATTTCCATTGTCTTCATTCTATACTATAACTAATTAAATCGAAATGCAAAGCACAACCTAGAACACTCTTAAGCTCAGCATAGATTAAAATAAAGCTGTAATTATTATATGATGTCACAAGCTTAAGGCAATGCAGCCATAGTCTGCTTGTAATTTAACATTAGACTTAATTGACAATTGCTTGATAAGACATACGCGAAAATCACTTCAAGGCTGGGCTTGGAGATAATCAATATAAAGAACCCCAGAACTAAGGCTTCTTTGCTCAGCTTCTTATTCAAATAAAAACAACTTGAACTTGCTTTTAAGATTAAAACAACGACAGCTTCTTCAACAGGCTGTTCATGTGGCTGCTTCGTACGAACAGCTTTTAATTATTTTAACAAAGAGAAAAAGGTAGTAGCTACCCATATAATATTCACATTATATCAGCGGGACTATTTTTTCGAGAAATGCATAAAGAACTAGGCATAACCGTAGATCCATAAATGTGTTGAGCACTTTCTGTTTTTTACTTTTGCTCCTCCTCCCTCCCCACCCACTCTTCAATGGAACAACTAATGCATAACACAAATGCCTATCAAAGAACACGCCCCGAAAGTGACATTAACAACGCTGTCTAAATGCCCCAAAATGCTTTGCCTAAAAGAGCATGTTTCACACCTAATTACACATACATGTATGTGTAAGCCACACACACATACACACACACACATTGAACTTTGGGTATCTCTATGCCTGAGCAAACACTTGATATAAATTTCAAGCAGCTGCAGACATCAAAGAGAACTCATACATACATACATAAATATTTCTATGTATGTATATATGTATGGAGAGCCTGCCTTCCTGTGAAGGCTCAGTTGTTGTGCAAAACTATTTATTGAATAAAATTCTGCTGGTATGCGTAAGCAAGGTGTCAAAGACACGCCGGGAATGTGTGTTCGCACTCGCATGTGTTTGTGAGAATATTAAATTTAATGCAGATATGCATACACACACATACGTGTATACATATACATACATACTTGGACATATGTAAATATGTACGTGTATGTACTGAGTGGAAAATATGATATAAACGACAAGGCATTTGGCTTGACATATGCTCGGGTCTGGGTCAGCGTATGCGAGTAAGCGGCTTAAAAGCAAACGCTACGTAATAACACAGTAAGCCAATGAGCACATGGGTCTGACCGGCTCTGGACAACAGTGACAAAAATTGTAGCTTATTATAAATTTAGGCAACAAATTGATTCATTTTTCGCATCAAGAATTTCCAGAATGCTTCACTAATTTAGACAAAGTATTATCATAAAATTGTAGTACATAGGTCTGATCTTATCTTAGTATAAATCTAATTTGCTTTTATTCATAATAAATAATACGTACAAAAAAATGGTTAAGGAATTTTATTTCTAATAAGAAGAGCAATACATCGATCTGATTAGACCCAAGACGGATATCGCAAATTTTTAATCGTTTCCTTATTATAGAATATCTTTATTTTATTTTAAAATATTATATTATAATATAAATCAAAGTTTTCTATATGTATCGACAGCACTAATTGTTGATTTACTTAATAAATAAATAAATAAATTATGGATGTTAAAAACTTAATCTGCAAAAACAATATATACTGAAGGATATATAAATGAAAATAAAACATAAACAAAGCAAGCAATCTTTTTCAAGCTGCAACAACAGCCTTATACTTGATATACTTTTTTATTTAGATGCGATCCTATTACATAATATCGCTTAATGTTTTCAATTTGTATTATATTAAGTCTGCATTAATATTTTAGTTGCGTAATAAATTCTTACAAAAGAACAATATATTTAATATATTTAAACATATTCCCCACTACTGTAAGCATTTATTTATCTTTGTTCATTTAAATAGATATTTATTCATTAGTCATTATTCTAAATTGTTTGCATTCCATTGAGTCTGTATGTTGGAATGCGGCTAATTTCGTTGTGGTTGCTTGTTTTTCGCAGTGTAGCTCTATTCTCCTTGTCTCTGATTCTGACGCTGTCGTGTGACTCGTGTGTAGTTGATTAATATGCTTACCTGGTGATTCCGGTGCGTGTTGAAAACATTTCGAGCACAAATATTTGCGGGAGTCCGCCATCATAGCCGGGTATGCATTGGATGTCAGCACTGAGCTCCGTACGGTTGAAGACGGTACAGTTGTTGACAGCGTTCGGCAGAGCTATGGTCGCATGTGTCCAGTTCGGTTTCACACACATATTCAGTTATATGTATTGAAGGATTTGGTGAGCGCGTGTGTGGGTGTGGCAGGACGAGAAGAAGAGAAACGTACACAATGTAAAAGTTTGTATTAAATTAAGCATACGCGCTAAGGTCTCTTTCCCGCCACCCGCCATCCGCCCCCCAGCGGGCCAAAAAGTCCAAGCCCATTCAAGCCGCTTGTGTGGTGTGTTTGCGTGCGGCATTAACATGTTAAGGTCAAATTGCACGTAACGAGGCAAGCGCACCAAACAGATATATACTCACAAATCTACATTTATGCCACAATCGGACAAATTAAATAAGATTCGGACACAAAACAGAGGATCAATTTGCAAAAATTAAATCAACTATCTCTAGTTTCAAAAAGCAATCTTAAGAGTCTGTATAGTAAGTCTGTAATTAATTTCGATTTATTAATTTTTATTATTTAAGGAATCTACATTTATGTCACAAAATTAAATTGCCAAAAATTAAATCACCTATCACCCATCTATAGCTTCCAAAAACGTTCATAAAAATCAATAATTACTATAATTTCAGTTTCTTAATTACTATTATTCGTGAAATGGATTGATTCGGGCTAGAATTACGCGTTTTCGAAAGATATTTTTTTATCAAAGAGTCGTTTATCTAAAAAATTTATCTTCTGACTGAATATTTGTTAAATTAATTTTTTCTTTTTCACTAAAAGTGGTAAGAATTATGATAAAGGAACTTGAGTTTTGAATGATTTGAGTATTTTATAAAAAACTGTTTTATTTTGTTTAAAAAATATGGTAAAAATCTGATAAACCCATTTATTATATGGCTAAAAAATATTTATTTATTTGAGAATCTGAAATCAGATGAATCCTAAACGAAAACAATTCAAATGTGAAAATGTTTGCACGAAACAAACAAAAAAAGATTACAATTTGTCGCATCTAGTATGACCCAAGCTTATTCATTATTCAGATTCGGATAGACAAATAGTTGATAGACATGCTGAGCATGCCCCATGGTGTAATCGAACCCAAAGCACAAAAGTGTGCTGCTTACCTGCCAGAACCACTTGAAAGAGACACGGCTGCTGTTGTGTGCCCACCTCATTGGCTGCCCAGCAGGACAGCGTGCCATAATCCTGTGAATACACGAAAAATATGCACATGTATATGTATTATTTAAGCCCAACTGCCAACTAGCAGCTTCTGTTGCTTAATTGCGACTGAGCTTTTACCTGATCTGTGACCGGCGTGTACTTTAAAATACTGCGGCTGCCATTCACGCTGAAACGCTCGCTGCCCACGTCCAGAGTTTCGCCCGAGTTGTTGAATTTCCAGCGAAATGTTCTGCAAAACCATACATACATGTACATATTCATATAGCTCTCTTTATTTGTGTGTGTGTGTCTGCTTGTAGCGTTGACATTTTGACGTTGATTTTGAGTCGAGGCGCGCGTCACAGCGGCAGGTGAGACACAACATGTTTGCCAAGTTTTACATTTTTAAAATAGCTCGTTAAAATATTAAAGGTTAAATCCGCGCAAACTCTCTCACACACACCCACACATACACGCTTAATTATAGCCGACATATACAGTTGGCTGCACAGCAGTTAATCAATAAAACAACAACTTCAAACGCACAAACACAAAAACCAAAAAGAAGGAAACAAGCGTTGAAAAAGTTAAATCAATAAATTTCCCTTTGCATGCAGCTGTTTCGGTTGAAATTTAAATTTAAATTGAAATAAGAACAATGTGTTGGCAACCTTTAGGCGTGCTTTTGTTGATCGTTGTTGCTGTTGCTGCTATTATTGTTGTTGTTGTTGTTGTTGTTGTTGTTGTCACACACACTTAAATGCTGATAAATTAACTGGCAGCCCCAAAAAGTATGCAGCATCTTTTTAATGTTCGCGCCCCAGCAATTTACAGGACGAGGCAGCTGCGACGCCTCGCATATTTTAGCCTGCTGCTAATGATTAATTATTTTAGCATAAAGCGTCAGCTCAGCACAGGACAACGCACCAAAAAGAAAAAGAATGAAATTATATATATATAAAAAAAAAAAAAATACGGCTGTATACTTGTACACAACATTTTCAACGAAATGTTGCAAAAAGCAGCACAGACAACTAAAGACGAACCGCAGAACGTGGCAACCAACTTAAAGCTCATTAAAAAAACATTAAAGTGGTCACTGTGTAGCAAGTGATTTCAAAGGCGACACAATTTGCGGCTCTGCCCACTGCAGCTGTTGTGGGAAATGAAGCGTCTGCTTCCCCAAAAATTTCAGCAAGCGAAACATTTGAAATAAATTAAAATTAAATATTTCACCAGCACAACATTAAAGCTTTTTAAAGTGAGAAACAGACAATCTGTCACTTAAGCTGCTGAATTTTGTTGGTGATTATAGTAAACACAAGACTTTTCTCTCTATTTGATGTGATTGTGGTATCCATATTCCGCAAAGTAAATCAACTATGTACATACTGTGTGTAAACCTTTTACGGACTTTGCAACTCGAATTTTATTTTATTACACTCGCTATAAAAATTAAATCCCGAAAGTATTGTTATATTATGGCATTGTATATAAATCGCAAATACTGCATTTGGTTTTAAGCTTAAAGTAGCAAAATTAAGTTTCCCTCAATTAAGACTGTGCCAACAGAAAGCTGCACAATTTTTAGCCACGTTTGTAATTGTTTAAAGATCCTTTTCTCAATCATTAAAAATCAATGTCCGGCTTTTTCTATTTATTTGCTTTTTTTCTTCTATGTTAATTAGAGCTTAAAAAGTATTTGTTCAATGGCCACAATTATCAATTTCTTATTTTTAAAACCACCTTTTTCGGTTTGCACAAACAAATTAAATTTTAAAAATATTTACATTTAAGACTTGTAAGCTTTTTAAAAATGTCAATTCAATAATTAGCACAAAGTATATTATTAATAAATGCATTTACTGTCAAAACAGTAAAAAGCTTTTACGTATAGTATATAAAAAAAAATCACAAAGAAAATCTAAAGCCCAATGGTATTTTCTCTCACTTGCTTTGACGATTTCCTTTGAAAGTGGAATTCGCACGACTTTCAATGCTTTTATCGATAAAAGGAATATACACACATTCTACAATTTCCTCTTAAATTTGAACATCAATTTGTCCCGAGCAATCTTGCTTCCCCAGAATGTATACAAAATGAGTGTCAGGATATGTTAAAAGCACGTTTTTTTCTTGTATTTTTGCATGCATGCGGCTTAACAGAAAATCAAAACCTAAAATATTGTTAAATTTTGCACATTTCCTTTGAATAAACAGCATTTTCCGTTACGCACCAAAGCCCACACCAATACCCAAGCGAAAATGCCACACATACCCTCACATACAATTACAGTCATTTGTCAATTTTGCAAACTTCCATTCAACAGGAAACAGGAAGTAATTGCCTACAACGGCAACAACGTCAACAGCAGCAGCAGCAGCAGAAATAACAACAAGTAGGCAGCAGCCCTGCTGATGGTTTGTTTGCCCACTTCCCCTTCCTCCTTTTCTTTATTTTACTCGCACACTCACCTGGGCGGCGGATCCGCTTGTATCTCGCACACTACCTCAACTGTCTCATCCTTGGAGGCTCCAATTAGTATAACGCGATCCGTATGCTTGCAAACGGGCGTATCTGTAAGAATGAATAAAATGATGATGAAGAAGGAGAAGAAGAGTAGCGGAAAATACATATAAGCGTGAATGTTGTGAAAATCGTTGAAAAATTGCGGAAGTCTGTTGCTTGTATTTATGCGAGTAGGGCGGCAACGCACCAGAGAAAAACGCACAAAAGTGATTTAGACAGGCCGCACAGTGGGCTTAAGTACGCCCAATGTGTTAATTAACTAATTAAATTGGCTGTGCAAATAATTGAGGGTTGGCCACATCCATAAGATTCAATTTAAAATAATTGCATATTCTTATTTCTGGCTATAAATAAGTATGGCTGCTAACGAGCTGTTTAATTCCATTTTAAATGCCATATCAGCTAATCATTGGAAAGAGCAACCCATACTTGATGTGTAAGACCATTCTAGTTACATAATCAGCAACTTTAAATTGCATAACATTAACTGCTAACATAATCTAAGAATTAACTCATAATGTTATCAAGATCCTGCTAACACAAGCTGTCTGGCACGGCACCATTACCAACCGATCAGAAGTTATCCAAGCTTATCAAGCTTTTTGGCGTTGGAGTGACGTTATTAGCAGTGGCAGTAACATAATGAGCCACTTTAACATAAGAAATAACATAACATAACATAAGCTTATGAAAATAATAACATAATCTATAATGTAACTGATTCATGTCAATCAGTCACTTTAGCATAAGAAATAACATATCATATTAACATGTGTATTTGATAACATCTATGACGTGAATGATTATGTTATCAGCTTTAAGCTTTTTTGCGACGACACCACCACCAATAGAGGCAATATCATCCCAGCTTATTTGGCTTTTTAGAGTTCGAGTAACGTTGTTAGGAACTTCTAAAACTTCTTCTAAAGTCAGCTACCCTTTATCTAATGTTAAATGATTATGAAGAGGAATATTAAAAAGAAGCTACATTTTCTAATACGCAAAAAGGCAATACATGTTATTTTTTGTAGTTCAGAAAGCCCATTGATATAATTTATCAGTATAAAGTAAAATTTGTTTAATTAAAAACTAAAACTTCGAAATAAAATAAATTTGTTTACTCTTAATTAACATTTAAGCATCATTTAAACATAGCCTATTTAATTAAATTGTTTATATTCCTGTCTGTATTCTTCTAGTCCCTAATTGTTAGGCATTTTTTTTATTTTTAATTATTTTTGGAAACATCGACGCAATTGAAAAAGAAATTCTGACTTAATAGTGAAGCAAAAAAAAATATACTACATATAATTAAATTCTACTAATTTACGGCATGACTTAATGTTTTTCTTGCCATTCATCCCACTGTAGAGCACCTTTGCCGTTGAGTAGCTGTCGTGGCTCCTCCACATTGGAGTGCCGCAGTCATCAGTCAGTGGCAGAGACGCCGCCAACTCAAGGCACGGCACATGTCAACGTCGACGTCCATGTTGACGTCGGCGTCGACGGTGCAGCAGTTAGTCAGTGTCAAGGTAAAAAGCAAAGCCAGCCAGGCCAACCAACATGTCGAGTGGTGCCTGTATGTATGTGTGCTACGAGTGTGTGTGTGCCGCCTCCTTTGTTTACTTGAAATTAATTAATGTGGCAACATGATTTAGTACTTCCAGGTAAATAAGGCGTTCATAAATGTTAAAGGATTATTAGCTGACAACTTGGCAGCGGGCGCGCCTGCCACACACACCCACACACACACCCACACACGCTCACACACACATATGTACAAGTACCCACTTACACACACATGTGTCTGTGTTGCCTGTCAACAAGGCGTATGCGTAATTTCCTGACATACTTCCATTGCTAAACGATGCCAAACAAACGTTTAATTTGTGATGAAATGTTTATCTTAAAAATTCCCAAAAAGCGTAATTAATTAGCCAAAGCTGAAAGCAAGAACAACAAAATCAACTTGGCAGCAACAATTGTTGATGTGTTGCCCAAAACAGGGGGCAAAAGTTTGCTTATTTAAATTTTAAGCATTTCCCATTGTTTTTGTTTGGTTTACGGCTTAAGGCCTTGGCAGTTGTCGACAGCTAATTAGGCGTCAGTTCGGAACATACAAAAAACACAAAAACTTTCCAAAACGCGTAGGCCCCTTAAATCTGGCTAACTTTTCATATGCTTCAAGCACAATTTTTAATGTATTTTCAAACAATATTAATGATTACTCCTCCATGATTGTCTGCTGACGACTACACCACGACAAAATATCTCAAATTTCACTAATTGAGAAATTATAGATACTGGCTACGTGTTCTATTTATTTTTTATTTTTTTATTTTTATGTTGCTATTTTAATTTTAAATTAAAATCTTAAAACTAACAATTAACAATTAAGCTTGGCCAAATGAATTCCTAATTAATTATAAAAAACATTCTACAAGCAGGCGAACATTTTTTATAGACTTTGTTGCCTCATTTTTATTAATTCTTTAAGCGCCTCCATGTTGTGTTTAATTTCAATTCTATTTCAATTCCCCTTAAGAGGCCAGATAGAAATGGATCTTAGTCTGGTTGGACGTCTAAGAACAACGATTTTTCTGATATGATTTAATAATTCAACTTTTGTATTTTAAAATAGGTGTATTATAGATCAGTAAGGGTTTTAAAACTTTTCAATTTGAGAAATGCGTACAAACACAAATATACTTAGCTTTGGCAAATTAAAGCTTTTACTTTTAATAAGCCCGTTTAAAATTACAAATGGATATAGTTTATTTAATTTTTTTAATAGTTTTAAGTGTTCAACATAACGATTATGTGTAAATCGAAAGCTATGTACTATATGTCGAAAATAAAGCTCTTACATGTGCGTTGAAAAGACATTGAAGTATATGGAGAATGCTTTCAAACTATTTAAAAGCAAAGTTCAAAGTTTCGAAAGCCACCAAGCCAAGTAGTGTTTAGACCAAGTTAAGTAACATACATATATATATGTATATATGAGTGGCAGAGAACTGTATGTAATAAGCAATTACATTTTTGCAATAAAATGGAAAGTCTGACGAAAAGTTGTAGGCTGCTAGACAACAGTCAAGAAAGGAGAGGAGAGCCTCCTTCTCTCACACACACACACGCACACACACACAAACACAAGTAAGTATGCAACGGGCGACGCACTCGCACTCCATTTAATTTATGACCCAGAGCTATGCGCTGTCAAGTTGAAGTACTCGGCAATTTGTACAGCTCAGAATGGCGGCTGGCGCTACATGTGTATCACTCAAAACCAGATAGAAGCGAGTGCAGCATCAGCAGCAGCAACAACAACAACAAAACGAGCGTGCTCATTATGAGTACGATGATGATCATCATCTTCATCAGCGGAGGCAACTGTCAAATTGCTTAAATTCCGGCACAGCTGCAGCTGCTCAGTGCGGGAGGAGAAGTGAAGCTGAAGCAGGAGCTGGAGCTGGAGCAAGGACTTTGTAAGATGGCGGCAAAAGTTGGCAGCGTTTCGCGGGCTGTTAAATTGAAGCATAATTCCGCAGCTGCAACAACGACCAGCAATGAAATATGATGCAACGCGTGTGTGGCATGCATATGAAAAAAAATAATAATAATAGTAATACTCGTATGTGTGTGTGTGTGCCACTGGATTTGCAGCTCTCGGCAATGTGGCAATGTGGCGGAGCCAACGAGCGAGGGGAAAGAGAGAAAAAATGTTGTATTTATGCAAAAAGCGGAATGAAAAATATTTTCACAGCCTTGACTTGGCAAGTCGAAGTAGAAGCAGAAGAAGGAACATCAACAGCAGCAGCAGCAGTTGTTGGCTCTGCAAAATGGCCAGCAACGACATGTCAACAGGAAGTATGCTCCACAATCGAATACCCTGCATTCAACCAACTGGCAGCTGAACTTAGCCTATAATATATTAACTTATAATAAATTATTTAAGATTCTTTCGGATTTGACTTTCTAACTTTGTTATTTATCGCATAATTAAATTTATTATCAAACAGCCAGGATTCAAAGTTATCATAAAATTTAATAATTGTCCAATATAGGACACAATTTAAAACATGTTAAAAACATAACAAGATAGGCAATTTTTTTTATATTTTTGTGGCTCAATTAAGATTGTCATTTAATACGTATTTAATAATATTTCAAGTACTACAACTGAATTATTGATCTTAGAATAATTTTGATCGAATTAAGGCAAACTACAATTTGATAATTTAGATGTGGACATCCCTAAGACTTCAAAATTATGTGATATATGTAGGAAATCTGCCACAGCTACTTATGTACATATGTTAACAGCAAACTAATATAACCGTACACCCTTTGGCTATATAGGGTATGAAAAACATGCAATACATCAAATGATACGAAGCTCTGCAAAAACAGCAACATCTGCAATGAAAGGGTGTGCCGGGGAGAGGGGAAAATTATGACAACGACGATGACGGCTGCAACAGAGCGCCTCACTTTATGATAAGAAAACAGACAGACTGAGAGATGGGAACAGACAGACGTACAGGACGAGCGCCGGATTCAGATGCATTCAAACAAAGTGATGCTGTTTTGCAAATTTGTGCTCAGCATGCCAGCTAAATACGCTCCGACATGAGAAAGACAGAGGAATAGAAAAAATATATACGATATCTAATAGATGTGATGAGCCCAACTTAAAGTCAACTGAGAAACTTTAAGGCTTATGTTGTCTACTGAAAAGTCCATAAGAAGACAATTGGGGAATTGTTTTAATAAATGAAGGAATAAATAAGAGAATAAGAGACACTACTAACACAGTAAATATTGTAGATATATTTAAGAAAAACTATAAATAATAAGTGAGACCTTAAAAGTCGCGCTAAACGCTATTCTACAAATAAAATTTTGCTGCAAGAAACTTTCTTATAGCAGCTGTACAACAATTTATATAAAGCTTCAGATAAATATGATATCTTTATAAGCTAAAAGGAAGGATTATAGAATAGTGAGGCTGTATATCATGTTTATGGATCAATATTTATCGGTGTTCAAACGGATGACGAGAAGAACATGTCTTTAAGGACTTTATTCGACTTATATGTTTATTTTTAACATCCAGTCCACAATTTCTTCTTCTGAGTGTTACAGACATACACATTAAAAACAATATATCCTCACATAATACAAATAATTGATTTGAGCGCATTCTTCAGTAACTACTTAAATATATCTAAGGCATTTAAGAAAGTCAACTCACATTTGACACGTAGTGGCAATTGATTGCTCACAGTCTCGCCCTCGTCATTAATCGCACTGCATGCATAGTTGCCTGCATAGTGTTTCGTTATCTTCTGCAGCACCAAACTCTGATTTGATCGGATCACTCGCGCCGAGGTGTTATGCTCCAGATGTATGCCCTGCAAAGAAAATGAAGCAACCGCGAATTAGCGATCGATGCGCTTCAAGACTTACGCACGATTTAAATTTCAATTTACCAAAAGCTGTAAAGCGTTTGCCAAGCGCCACACAAGTGAACTCGTTCCCACACATACTACTGCTATAGGGAAACAAAAACACACACACACACACACACTCACACAAGCACACTATTTCAGCCAAAATGACTGCAGAACAATCAGGCCAGCAAGCCAGCGAACGGCAGCAGAGTCTGTCGTGAGGACTGTGGCACCACTCGAGCGTCAGGCAAAATCAATGCCACAAATCCCAAAACTATTTGGCCAAACGTCGCACTTGCAGTTCTTCTTGTTGTTGTTGTTGTTGCAGTTGCAGTTGCAGTCTCAGTCTCCGGTGCTGGTATTGCGGGCGCGTTGCGATTCAATTCGGTGCGAATTGAAATGAGCAAAGAGAAATGAGCAGAGCAAAGCAGCTTAGAGGTGGCAGCGTGACTCAACATCGTTATTTAATTCAGCTACAAGTCTCTACTTCTCACAGATACCCCCTGACGAATGGAAATAACAATTTTTTAAGACACGGTACTACTGTTCCTATCCTTTCAAACTTATCGGCTTTGTCCAGAAAAAGGACAAAAAGCTTCAAATTAAAGTTGAGAAAAATAATTTAATTTACTATGGAATATAGTAAATTTAGCTATTTGTTTTTTGAAGTGTGTGCATATTAATATTGAAATTGTATTAACATCGAATTGAATTGAATTGAATTGAACATACTTTAATAACAGAGTTTTAAACTTCGTTTTGAATATTATTCATATTAAAATCACTAATTGAATATATTTTTAGTAAAATTTACGATGTTTTTAATTGATTTGAATATGGAACATTACATTTAATATGAAAATATTCATCTGTACTGTGCAACATTTTTATCAGTGTGTTTGATCAATTAAAAAACAAGACCGATTGAAAGACGGTCGTAGTTTTGCGTAAACTTAACAATAAAATATATTTAGATGGCTAGCAGAAATCGCTTTTCCACCAGAACATTGCAAAATTATAAAAAAGAAGATTTTCTGAGCCAACATATTCTTCAGATTTGGTTCGTATTAAATATTATCTACTCCTCCAACTAAATGAAAAGCCTTGCATGAACACAACAGTTTGTCAAATGCTTTCAATCTAAAAATAAATACTGCCTTAAAATAAGTAAATTATTCGCTTCCATTTTGGTGGAAAAGAATGCTGAATTTCTGTACATTCAAGTATGTAGACCATACTCCTTTAAGACAGTTTTGTATCCGATTTTTATACCCTAAATATTTGCCTCTACCTCAGCTTTGTCAAATGGCACAGTCATTTACCTTAGACTATATCTCCTGACTATACCTTAACAACCAGTAGCTAAACAGATATATATCTCTGCTTGTCTCAACATTATAATAAATGCGCTTAATTTTGTAAAGATAGCAACTCTTAAGTGTCGTACTCCTCTCTAGATTGGGGAATGCAGTGAATGCTCAACTCACATGCAATATGCCATGTTATTGACACTTAAACAGAAATGTGGGGAACGAGTAGCAGGAAGGCAGGAAGGTAGACAGATGATGGGGCCGTTGGCTTGCCGTTCACTTCCAGCTGACTTGGCACAAACACACACACACACACACACACACATACTCGCACACACACACACACAAAGGACAGCTGCGCGCTACTCACATTATGTAACCACAGTAGTTTCCGCCATTGAGGATTCGATTGTACGTGACACTCGAAGTAAACATCATCGCCTTCCTTGATATCATCCGGTGTCAGCGTAGAGCCCAGTCGCAAAGTCACCAGCGGCGGATCTGGAAATAGAGAGAGACAGAGAGAGAGAGAGCGTTAGGAAAAGGGGTTTAGAGCATGATTAAGTTGATTTAATAGTTTTTGCAAATATGAGCGATTTACTCTCCAATAAGAGGAGCAACAACAATAACACTAACGTCGACAGCAACAACAACTACAACTACAACGATAAGGCATTATGAAAAGCCATCGTCATGCTGGAAAACTGTTTGCCAACATGTGTTGCCGCTTAAGTCGTTTGAATTTGTTTAACGAGCCACAAACTTTGCGACAAACAGCAACTTGGCCAAAAACTTGGCGCACGACACGTTTCCCAGCCATGGGGCCCAGAGCTTGGCACGGCCAACCTTAATATATTGTTGAGTTATTGGACCAAGCCAAATGGCGTGTGGCAGTCAAGAGTTAAGGCAACGGCAGCCACTCACTACGGCACAATATAGACGGCACCAAAAGCCACCACAGCAGACCCTTGCCCCCATCTCCAACCCCATCCCTGTCCACAACCGTTGAGCCTAGGCAACTTTTGAATGGCCGCCGTTGCCTAAAAGTTTTGACTGGGCGTCTGACTTGGCTCTGAAAACAGCTCTGAAAACAGCAGCAACAGCAGCAGCAGGCGCCAATCAAGCAAAGTGCCTGGGGCCAACTCTTTCGCCAGGACGTCGTCGTCGCCATCGCCGTCGCCATCGCCATCGCCATGGCCATCACCGCCATTCCATTCAATGTTTCACTTTCGCGTTGTATTTCCGCACACATGTTGCAAGCGTTTCTCTTATCATTTACCGTTCTGAGCTGCTGACGTTTGGCCCAACGCACGGCCCCACAGTGGTCTGCCATTTCCACACAATCGGACAAAAATATGTGCACTGCATAGTGAAAAGCTCCGATTATAATTATATATTATTATATTTATTATATATATTATATTTATAAAAGTCTGTCAGATCTTAATCTATCTTCATCCTAGTTGTGGCGAGGGAAAACTTTTTATATCGAACAAATGGCTTGGACCTCTGTTCTAAATATTTCATTTAAATATAAATAAATAATTTAGGCGATTTTGTAAACATTACCGAATTTTGCGGTAGGAAAGTAAAGTCTGTTTCAGCTTAATATCCTCTGAGTTACGTATATCGTAGTAACTTTTTAAAAAAACGATAAAAAACCCACAAATTTAATTTGGCTAACTCACAGGAATATCGATCTTAAAAGCAATTACTCGATAATCTTTCACAAATTTCCATTTATATCTAAAAAAGATTCAGTGCAAATATCAGTACTTTATACCTTATTTTATCTTAATTGATTTATTTTGAAATTTAGAAATTTTTTAGAAATTTGGATAGGTACATTTTTGTAGATTAGCTGCTTTCTCTTATTTATCTTGTCTGTTTAAAACCACCGCTTAGGATTAATTGAAATAAAACTGAAAACTATATGTAAATCATTTGCTATAATGCATTTTTTATGAATATTAACGTAGCAATAACAAGCGATTAATGCTTCGAAATTGCTTCATTACCCCAGGCAGCATTTGAATATTTATGTGGATTTCCATTCATATAGAGATCAACAAGTGTATATAATATTTCCATAATACCAAGCACAAGCACCAACAGTGGTACATATTTTGGTTCTGCGCTCTGTTACCAGCTTATAAGAACTATATACTTACAATGATTGGTTACATGGCTTAATGATCGTTGTTTTTATTCAATATATTGTTGTGTCAGCTTCTTTAAAATCTCTTATGTATATCTTTCGTTTATTACATATATTTACAGTTATTTATATTACTCAAACCAAATATGTGTGAGCTTAAATAAAGAATATCTGTAATGCTCCGCGCTCTCGTCTGCTCTCTTCAACGACTTAAACGAAACTCCTCCCACATAATTGACAATTCAATTAAATCAACATTACTCTCTCTCTCTCTCTCTTTTATTGTTGCAGGCTGATTGCCGCTCTCCCGCCCCGTTCTCTTGCAAAGCTTACGGTTAATTCTCTCTCGAATAATATTGCAAGCTTGTGAGCTGCAAGAAAGCTGCCTGCGAGCAGCGAGAGTTAATCTTAAGCTTACGCTTTCTCTCCTTCCACAATACCCCAATCTTTAAAAAAAAACCGCAAAAATAATTATATTTCAAAGTATATTTCCGTGTTGTTCTTGTTGTTGTAGAGCTTAATGTACTACTACTTAGAGACCATTAAAAAGTTCACTCCAGAAGTGTTCTTGTTTTATAAAGAAATGTTCGACTTGGAAGCATTTCTATGGAATTATGTTGCTTTAAAATTACGAGATGAAAAATAAAATAAATTTCGCAAAACTGATAAATTGTAACGCCTTCTCTTTGCAAAAAAGTGGCAATAATAGAAGCTGAAAGCAGCGTCCGGCTACAGCAGAGTTGAATCGTAATATGCGGTAAAAGTTTCCCGTTAACTTTTAATATTTTGCTTTAAGCATTTTCTTTCATTTGAAGATCACATGGGGACCACTGTGTACTCCGCTCACCGCTCATTTGTGCGTGAGAGCCGTGTGCGCCGAGATGTGCGTGTGTTCTGGTAATTTATGTGCAAATAAAAGTTGGCTTATAATGGCGCTTGATATATGAGTTTGCCACAGGGTTTGGCGCGCCATATCACCAAAATACATATTGGCCAAAAAAATGTACGTTTTAAACTAAATTTTGCACCATGTGGTGAAAAGTATTTGCCGGCATCAGTGCTGTCTGGCAGCGTAAGACCGAATTAGTTTTTGTCCGTTATTCAATACTTTTTGTGTCAATATTTAGCGTATTTCTTGCGATTTGTGATACAAGTTGGCCTTGACATTAAAATCCATGCTCCATAAGCCATATTTTTTCGCAATTTTTTCATTTAGTACTGAGTTTTGTGGGAGAAACAAGCGAGCAGTGAGCAATAAGTGCGAATAATATTGCAATTATTTAACTGAAAAGTGCGCTATGCCCAAAGAAAAGTATTCCAATACCTGGATGGCGGGAGATACTGGTAACCAACCCAATAATTCTGGAGGACAAGGCAGGAAAAAAGTAAGGACACACATAAAGAATATTGAAGATTTTCAGACACAGCGCGAGGATGTCAAAAAAGAAAATGACAAGTCGAAAACGAATTTCTTCCATCGCAACAAAAATAATCGCAACAAAAAGGGGAATTTCCTAAAAACAATGCAAAATGCCAAAGGGAAGGCAGTAAATGCGAAACCTGAACCTACTGTAGCTAATGGAAAAGCAGGAGCTAGTGTGGTGCAAGGCACTACTGTAACTAATGAGGGGAAAGGGGTGGCTAAAAAAGCTAATGCGGACACTACTAGACTTGTCACAACTAAAGCCGCTACTGAACCCACTGCAGCCAATGGAACTAGTGTAGGGAAAGGCACTTGTACGACTACAGGAACTACTGTAACTACAGAGGCTGGCAAATCAAATTCAGAGTCAAATCAAACCGGCCAACAGAAAGCTGGCGTCATAAATAAATGGTTTCCGGGCACAACACACGATTCTGCTGCGGCTGCTACATTGAATAAGACACGGGGCCGAAAGCCAAAGACAAAGATGGAAATTGAAGCTGCTGAAAAAAAGGAAACCGTCAATGAAATACCTGTCCCACAAACTGAAAGTGATGTGGAGCTATCTGCAGCTGGCAGGAAGAAGCGTGGTCGCAAACCGAAGCAGAAAATTCAGCTAAATGCCAACCCGGAGTGTGAAATAGAAGTCGAGTTTGTAAACAATGCTGATGTTAAGCAAAAAGAGCCAGCTATACAAAAACCAATACAAAATGTTTTACCCATCAATGATAGTTTCGAGGCCTATTTGCAGGAAGTTGAATTGAAACGGCAGTTGCAGAAAGATCGCTCCAAAGCTCAAAAGAGTCAAGAGCGAACGACCCCTTTTAAAAATAGCTTTGAGGCCATTTTACAGGAGGTGGAAAAAAAGTGGCCGCCCAAAAAACCGCCAGCTCCAACGGCAACTCCAACTCCGACGCCAACTCCAGTTCCACTCTCAACAGCAGCACAAAAGCCAATACCTTCCCACTGTAGACAGCCGGTCAACAATGTAATGCCGAAACCATCCAATGCCTCTGTAGCCTTGCCCAATCAACAGAGGGAGGTGTTGTGCAAGCCCAATCTCGATGTGGAGAAAGTGCCAGCAGCTGCTCAAGGGACGGGAAATAATGTTTACAACATTTTTAATCAGAACTACAACGCCGTGAATTTTACACAAATCGATCAGATGAATCCTCAATTCACATACAATTTCAATAAAATGCAACCCTACAATGTAGATGGAATAAATAATGCGGCATATCCCAGGCGCACCTACACAAAAGTGCCCGGCGTTACGGGGGAGGAAATCCCACTGAGCTATGTGACGGAGCCCAATGGTCAGATAACCAACGTAACCATGTTCCCACCAATACAAAACACATTACCAGCGCCCGGCATCGATGGCAGTCCGGGCTTTAACTTTAGTTGTAAGTTTTCAATTGTTTTCGTTTTTTTTAGCAGCCTCGGTAAAACTCCCTAACTGATACGATTAGGATGGGCTCGCTGTATTTTTCCTATCCCTTCTGAGTTCAGACTCATGCTTGCTCCTCCTTTTTATGGCACACTCGACTCCCGGGTGGCAGGGAAACCCCAAAGCTGATTCGATTAGGATTGACCTGGTCTATTTTCCCAGCCTTTTTGAGTTCAGGCTCCATCTTTCTTGCCTAGGTAGTCCTATTGTACTTAACCTCACGATGATTCGGATCCCATAATTAATGTCCTTTCTCGTCACCTTTTCTCTCCTGTCTGGATAGCAGCTTGACTATAATAATAATTGGCATCTCGACTCCCGGTATGCAGGGAAACCCCCAGACTGATTGGATTGGTATTGGCCAATCCGGTCTATTTTTTTAGCCAACTTGACAACAGACTCCTTTTCTCTCTTACTTGAAACCTCGTTCACTGTACTTAACAATGCCTCACAATGGTTCGGATCCTATAATTAATGTCCTGGGATCCATCCGCCTTAGTGAGTCGCCAAAAGGCAGACTCGACTCCCATCCCAGCTCCCCATTACAGCTCCATACGCTACAGAACTTGTGAAATCAAATCAACCTTTCACTTTCCGCATCACAGCTCATATAAGTTCGAATATCAAGAACCCGCTCATCATTAATACTGCCAACCTAACGGCTGAGCAAATTAATCAAATAATGAAAATGGGATCACCTTGTTTCACCATCAACCACGCGGGACAAACCGTCCCCTTGCAGTGCATTTCGGAAGGCACAGCGGCACAGGCTGGACAACAACGCTTTAGCGGACCAGTGCAGGAGCCAGCCGTGGAGGATGAGGAAGTGGACTATGAAGAAATCGGCGTAGCAGATACATATGCCGAGTATTGGCCAAGCAAGTTGAAGGTCGGGGTGGCACATCCCGATGCCGTGGTGGAGACTGCCTCTCTGTCCTCTGTAGAGCCGCCAAATATTTTCATAAAGCTTGCCCTGCCTACTAAGGTACAAGTCTCGGGCTGCCTGAGTGCCCTGCAACTGGAGGCCGTCCTCTATGCCTGTCAGGCCCATGAGCGCTTCCTGCCCAATAAGGTGCGTGCTGGATTTCTTCTAGGCGATGGCGCCGGCGTGGGCAAAGGACGCACCATAGCAGCGATAATATATGAGAATTATTTGTGGGGGCGCACGAGAGCTCTCTGGATCTCGGTGTCCAGTGATCTGAAATTCGATGCGGAGCGCGACTTCCAGGACATTGGAGCGCATGCCATTCAAGTCGTGACACTGAACAAGTTCAAGTACAGTCGCATCAGTTCCGCCGAGAACGAGTATTTCAAGCAAGGCGTTATTTTCTGCACCTACACGGCCCTGATTGGTGAGTCCCTAACCGCCAAGGCCAGGTATAAAACGCGCCTAAAGCAGCTGGTCAATTGGATGGGCAGCGATTTCGATGGCGTCATCGTATTCGATGAGTGCCATAAGGCCAAGAACCTCAGTCTCGTGAATGTGGGAAAGTCCACAAAGACGGGCAGTACGGTATTGGAACTTCAGAATATGCTCCCCAAGGCCCGTGTTGTCTACGCCTCGGCTACTGGAGCTTCGGAGCCGCGCAATATGGCGTATATGGTACGTTTGGGACTCTGGGGCCAGGGCACTGCCTATCCGGAATTCTTCGACTTTGTCACGGCAGTGGAGAAGCGTGGCATTGGCGCTATGGAAATAATTGCCATGGACATGAAATTACGCGGCGCCTACATTGCCCGGCAGCTCAGCTTCAAGGATGTCAGCTTTCGCATTGAGGAGGTGCCGATGTCGCGAGAATTCCGCAAACTATACAATCATGCCGCCGAGTTGTGGGCCGAAATAAATAGGAAATTTCAAAAGGCCTGTCGCTTCATGTGCATAGAGAACCGCATCCAGAAGATAATCACATGCCAATTCTGGTGTGCACATCAACGCTTCTTCAAGAACCTCTGCATTGCCTCAAAGGTCACCCACGTCGTTAAAATGACGCGCCACGCCCTGCGCATGGGCAAGGCTGTGGTCATTGGTCTGCAATCCACGGGAGAATCTCGTACACTGGAGCACTTGGATCGGAATCAGGGTGAGCTGCGTGGCTTTGTGTCGACGTCCAAAATGATTGTGCAAACGTTCGTGGAGAAGCATTTCCCAGCACCAAAGCGGGAAAATTTCCATAAACTGATCAGCACGGGCAGATTCGAGCCGGAGTCGCGCAACAGGCCACCAGCTTCAAAGCGGCCGCGCATGAATCCCGACTGGTTCGATGACGATGATATGGACGCGGAAGCGGACGAGAGCGATATAGAACTGTTCGATTCAGCCTATAATATGGATGATGAAGATGAAGAGGATGTGCCCAAGGTGGGGAAAAAGCGACGCGGGCGACCGCCAAAAGCAGACAAGGGTGAGTATAACGCCTCTTTCCATTTCAAAAACTTCCACTTAGAGCCAAATAAAATGTGGAAACTATATTAGTAGAAGTCTTTCCAATCGATTTGATTCACACATCCCTCCCTCCATCTACACAGTCGAAAAAGTGACCGTTCAGGATCGGATTTTGATGCATCTTCACCAAAACCTGCACTCCAAAAATCAAGCAGAGCCGTCGTACACCTCCGAAAATACAAAGCATCCCAAGGCTAACATCACAGAGCGGGACGTCGATCGTTGCATCTCGATGCGTGAGCATTTGCTCGAAAGAATTGAAAGACTTGGTCGCAAGCTGCCAGCCAACACGCTGGATAAGCTTATCTTTGATTTGGGCGGCACCAAGGTGGTGGCAGAGATGACAGGAAGGCGTGGTCGTATAATTAAAACCGAGTCCAACACCTACGAATACGTGCAGCGCTGCGAAATCGACACGTGCATGGATCTGGTCAACTATCGGGAAAAGGGCCGCTTTATGGATGGCGATAAGCATGTCGCCATTATTTCGGAGGCAGCGTCCAGCGGCATTTCGCTGCAGAGTGACAAACGGGTCTCCAATCAACGACGACGTCTGCACATCACTCTCGAACTGCCTTGGTCGGCGGATCGGGCCATTCAACAGTTTGGACGCACACATCGCTCCAATCAGGTCAACTCGCCGGAGTATGTGTTCCTCATCACCGATTTGGCCGGCGAGCGTCGCTTCGCGGCCACGGTGGCAAAGCGACTGGAGAGCTTGGGCGCCCTAACACATGGAGATCGGCGAGCCACCGACGCACGCGACCTCTCGCAATTCAATATTGACAATAATATTGGGCGCAACGCCCTTGACTGTGTAATGCAAGAGATAACCGGCGAGAAGGAACTGGATCGCGCCCATGTCCCCAATTTCTATAAAGGCAACTTCTGCTGGGACTGTAGCACGGCTATGGCGGGCGTGGGAATGATTGGAATGCGCAACGAGAACAATTCGACCAACTTTGTGATTGAAAAGGACAGCAATAATGTGTCCAAGTTTCTCAATCGCATCCTCGGCTGCCGCGTTGAAGTACAGAATGCACTCTTTAAGTTCTTTATGAATAAAATGTTTACACTGATCATGCAAATGAAGCGCGCAGGTCGATTTGATCTTGGCATATTGGGTGAGTAAGCCAAACAGATCTTACATTTCGAAAAAAAAGGAACATCTTTTTATACAATTCGAATCAGAATTAGAATGTTTCGAAATTAAAAACATAGACATAATTAATTACTGATTTAAATGTGAATTATATTTAATAGAAAATGTAAATCTTTGTCTGTGCCAATTAATGTTGAATACTTAATTTTAATAATTTGAAACAGAACATTTTTATATTTTTCTCAACATTAATTTGTAGGGTTAAATTAAATATTATAAAAATATACAAATTAATATTTTAATATAATAATAATAATATATTAATGCAATAAGACAAAAATATAATAATAGTTAATTCGAATATTTTGAAATGTAAAATAGAGATAAACATTGACTAGAAATCCCATGTCGGTTTTCTGCCCTTTATAATCAGCTATTCCTCGCTTTTAATATTAATATTGATATAAGCAATAAATGGCATAACATAATAAATAAATAAAAAATAAATAATAAATAAAATAAATATAATAACAAAAGAGGTTCGAAATTACTTTCTAATAAAGCTGTTCTTCAAAATAAATATACCTATTATGCATTTAGAAAATAATTGTTGGAAGATTAGATAAAAAAGAAAATTTTTTATAATTATTTAAAAGAAACCTTCGACGTGAACTTGTGATTAAATGTCGTCACAGTTTAAATTTAATATTTTAATGTTCAACTCGAAATTAAAGTGTGTTAAAAATGATGATAAAAATACTTAAATTTCTTGTTTTTTTATGAGTGTAGATACTCCTTAATTAGTTACTTTACCTATTTTTTAACAAAAATATATCCCCCCATTACAGATCTTGATGCTCATGGTGCTAGTGTGACGTCAGTCAAGCTGCTGCGTTTTATACGTCAGCATGCTACTGGAACCGCTGCTACGGAACTGCACACAGTTAAGGTGGAACGAGGTCTGGCCTTTGAGACGGCACTACAAAAGTGAGTTCCTTAACTGAGAATTCTCCACACTTGCTAACCATCTATGTAATACCCATTTAGGCTGCGAAAGGAGAAACGTTACGAGTACGAGGGCTTCTATGTGTTGAAGGTGCCGCGCAACAATAAAAACTGTGCCATTCTCTGTCTGAGTGCGCGACCAGATGTGCCCGGAGAGACATCCACGAAGAAGATTCAATTGCAAATCTATCGCGCCAACACAGGACCCCAGGTTCGCACCGAGTTCATGAGCTCCATTACAAACCGTTACCTCCAGGTGGTGCCCGAAACAGCCGAACATTTCTGGCGCCGGCAATACGAAGTGTGTGTGAACTTTTGCTCGCATTACTATTGGAGCGGTGTGTGTCCCTTCTCCAAGGGTTGCGAGGTTGGGTTGCGCGTGCGCACCTATCATGTGCTCTCAGGACTGATGCTGCCCATTTGGGATCGCATTGAGCAGGTCATTGAGATGAGGGGCCACAAAATACAAATGATACGCTTCAAAACGGATGTGAATAAGAAAATTGTGGGAACTGTGGTGCCAAATGCCGTCTATAACTATCTGGTTGTTGACCTATCTAATGATTCCACTGTGGAGGAGGTCAACTTTAGCTAAGAAGAGTAGGTTCTCCAATTAATTAGAGCAATTCTTCTCAGCTTAACATTCACATTTTGTCAATTATTATACAACCAAGGCTCAATTATAGCCTAAAAGGTATAATATTTATAAATAATAAATCTATATATATATAAAGAAGTTTGTCCTGACTAACTAACTGATTGGAGAACAACGCACAGCCCAAGAGGTAAAAGCTAGGAAGCATCTCTTCACAATGAAATTCGCGCTCCAAAGGGGATAAAGCAGGCTTCAAAGTTTGTATGAAACATCCGATCATCTTCAAATTTAACTCTTTTTCTGAATTATGAAAGTTTCCTTGAAATTTAGGAAAGGGTTTTCCTTTCCCAACCTTTTCCTCCCAAACTCTGTGGTAAATATGGGTGGACTCTATAAATATTTTGTATTTATTCATAGTCTTCAGTCATTTATTATTATTATTTTTTAGTAATTTAATTATTCCCTCTTTAACTGCCTATCGTTTAATCATCTCTGGATGCTTCCATTGCAGAGTGGTTGGAATGTGCTCTTAAAGAACTTTAAAAAATGTCTGCTATGGCTTCTTTTTATCTTTTCCTAATTTATTCCACTTACCTCCCTCCCCTGTTAATTGCTAAAGTGCTGGAGCTGGCATTTTACTTTGGCAACTATTTTCCCCCACTCCCTCTCTGGGCGGACCCCCCGCTATAGGGAACTTTATCAACTGCCTACACTTTAGAATAAGATACTCTCACAAGCACAAATATCAAGTTCAAATTGTGGCATGAATATCGCAGCGCTTTCCTTTGCATTCCGAGCACGCACAAGCGCCAATGTTGCCATCATAAACAACGGCCAAAGGACCTCCAGATACAAGCACATGCACACTCACATTTACACATGTAAAGCTGCGCATATGAGTGTGTGTGTGTGTGTGTGCTTATGTTTTCTGCAGTGCTGCAGGGTTTGTTGTGCTCTGCGCTTATGGGAATCTACGTCTGTGATTGTCTTGTTGTTCGCCTCCATTCCGACTCTCCCTCTCTCTCTCTCTCTCTGCAGCTACATTATAAATTTTAAAACGGGCATGTCACATACGCAGCGCACAGATATAAACAAAATTATACAATGGCAACAGAAGGCAGAAGGAGCAGCAGTGCCAACAACAACAATAAGATCTACTCAGAACATAAAGTATGCCAAATGGCCTTGGCAATTGCTGCCCTGCCCGGATTGTCCGCATGACAATAAATGCCGTGCTCTGCCTAAGAATTCTCAAAAACGAAATTCCTAAGCGCGTGGGTGGCTTATAAAGCGCGTGAGTTGCTGCTGCTGTCCCCCCGATAAAGATATCGTACTATATATGTATGTACATATGCGCAACAATAAATTTGTTTCTATCTATGAATGAAAAAATGCACTCAAATGCTAGAATTACAGGCCTAACGCGATTTAATTTTAATATATGATGGAATGGAAATTATTGTTGTTTCTAAAAGGTACTTCTTCGTTGTAATGCGATTGGTTTATCTTTGATTTCGATTTTCCTAACATGGTCTGCTGAGTTTTGAAATGATGATTAACAAAAGATATACAGAGCTGAATAGAAACGACCTCGAAAAGAATGAATTCCCATTCACGGGGTCACCAAAAGCGAACTTCCAATTCCCAATTTTGAAATTCAATTCCTGTTGCACCGACAAACACAATCATCAATATCTATATTGTTTTTAAGCTTCTTTGCTTAAAAACTTAACTGAACTTAATCCATTTATATAAAATCAATACCTTTTTGTCGTTAAATAATGATAATTTTTTGTTGTCGAAGTTGCATTTTGATTCGAGTTTATTAATCTTCTTTAAGAAAACATACTTGTACAATTCGATTGTTCCAAACAAAAAATATTTTTCAGTTTATATATATATATATATATATTAATTATTCCCGTACAACATACAGGTGAATGTTTTTTTTTCGGCAGAAAGCATTACAAACAAAAGTAACGTCAAACAAGAAAGTTTCCTGAATCCGTTTAAACATTAAACATCAACAATAAAAATTATGAGCAATAGCTAAAACTTTATATACTTAATAATTTATTTAATTACACGTTCCCAAGGTAAAGAGTACTCTGTTGCTAAACAAAAATGAAACACAACTACACAAAAACATATCGACACACTTTACCAGCTGATCTTTATACAAATTTATCATATTTTTATATAAACTGTTTATCTTTAAGTTAAAAAAATCCACTTTAATCCAAAAATAAAAGTTGTTCTTTTAAATTAATGAGACTTTAAGCTGCATCTTTATTGCTATCTCCAAGACGGCGCTTTGAATTATTTTTCCCTGAACGAACAATTATATACTATACGTTTCCACTTATTTCCATTCGAAAGAAATAAGAACAAGTTATGGCATCATGTTCGTATACAAATTATTGCCATAAGCCAAATTAAAAACGAAAAAATATTTGCTCAAAAAGAATTTATTTGTGCTGTAAAATTTGTTGCTCTCACGAAACAAAAAAGGCACGAACTTAAAGTCGAGTGCCTGCCAGAGCGTCGATATGTATGTATTAGCACAGTATATAAGTATGATTGTATGCACATATGTATGTATGTGTCTATCAGTTTGCGTGTATGAACTGTACGTGCCGATCATAAACTTTATTTGCTCCAAGCATACACATCCAGTCGCAGTCCAATGCACAAACGGAAGCAACAGCGGGGGAAGAGGAAGAAGTAAAACAGGCAAACAAACAAATAAAAAAATAATATTCTAAAAAACAAAACAACAATACAAGGAATACTCGTACATGAAGAAAAAGGTAACAAAGTGTGTGTGTGTGTGTATGTGTGTGTGGCGCTTAACAAAAAATACATAATAACACGTTATTTTAACGTAAAGCGTAGCCGGTAATTTTTTAGAGAGCCGGCTACATTTTATGGAAGAAGGAACAAGGACCCCCGACAATATTCGCGCAGCTTGCAGTAAATGTTTAATGAATAAAGCGCGTGCCGCTCCTTTATGTACAATTAAATAACAATTGTCGATGTACTGATTAATCAATAAATATGTAGCAGGAAAGCTGGGATACTTTTCAAATAATTGCATTTTACTTTTTGGAAATTGTATTTGAATTTCGCAAAGCAAACAAATATAACAATTATGAATTTGATAATTATATTTAAGCCTGCAGTTATAGGAGGATAGGTTAGATTAGGATGGAGAGGCTGAAGTGTGACTGCTCGCAAACTTATTTAAGGCTGCAGGGGGTCATGCATAATGCGCCCTATTTTTTATTTCAATTTTAAATTTCACAACCTTCAGTTTTGGTTTTCTGTAAATTATAGCCTGCTAGGATTTCACCCTTCTTTATTCCTGCTGCTTCTACAGATATTCATTTGATAATTTGAAGTCTGGCTCTTAGTTACCGACAACAGTGAAAGCTTTAATTCGCCTTTGCAGTTATATTAACAATTACAGAAACCTTTTTAATGCTTTGCTGTGAAGATTTTTATTAATATCTGTTCGCGTAAGAGGAGTGCGTACTGTCCGTCGGTCGTCGGCTGCCGACTTTGAATTCACCACACCGGCGACCGCCTAGCAGAGGCTTAGAATAAGTTTAGATTAGGCTTAGTTTTTAGTATTCGCATTGTATCGCAAGTGTGAAGTCAGCGCATGCGCGCCCCCAAATCGATTTAAGTTAATCTGTGAAGTTTTAATTGAAACAATAAACGACACCATCACCACATCAACTCGTCCTCTGCATTTGGTACTACACAGCGTCCACCCCACTACATTTTCATTGGTCCTTCGAGCCGGATATTGTCTGCTGCACCTCCAACCTTCATCCTCGTCTTGTGCTGCTTTGAAGTCCTCCCAGCTAGCATCGGTGGATTCAAGTGTTAAGTACCATCTGTAAATTATCCATTTACTATTGCTAAACCGCACTGTCCAAGTGCGTTCCGAAAAAAAAGCAATTTACAAGTGCAAGTGCCAGTGCAATCAAAAGAAAGGAAAAATTGTAGCGGCTTATATGTAGCTTATGTACATATCTTACATCAAGTATACATATGTACATATAGATATATAAGTCGCCATACTGTTTTTCCCGCCTTTGAGAGAGAGACTCCTGCGAACTTCGAATTTCCAATTCAAACTCGGCCGTGTTGTAAGGTCCAAAGGTCTTAAGTGTCAAACGTGTATAAGCGAACATATTGTGTTGTGCCTCAAACCCAACTGTGCCAACATATGAGTGTTAATAAGTGCACAATTCACATAGGCATTTATTAATATTCAATTCCACACATAATTGGCCTATACACGCTTAAGTTAAGACACTACACACGGAGCGCCCATTATTATTTATATTTCTCTCTTTCATTTATCCAACCCGCGCACTGCACTTGTACAATTTCCGCCAAATAAACCAACTTATTTATTTACCTCCGCATTATTATATTGCATATAAGTTTTTTCCCAAATCTTTAGCAACATTATTATTCACATCAGCAACATACATACATACATATATGTACATACATATTTTTTGGGCTTTTGTCGTTTGTCTTGTTTGCTAAACTTTCCAGCGCTTAAGATAAGCCGGCTCCTCGGCTCATCAATATTTTCACCACGCCTTCGCTCTTCGGCCGTTATTAGCGCTCTCTGGCGCTCACACCCACACACATACCCACACAAAAACGTCTCGCTGCAGCAGTGCATTGGCAGCGTCAGTTTGAGCGCAGCTGAAACAATAAGCGTGTAGACTGACCGCCAGCTGTTCCTCTCCGCAGCGTTTATGCATGCGCATACCCTATACGGACCGGGTGTTGCGATTTTTATGTATGCTCCTGCCCTTGCAATTTTTTTGAAAAAAATATTTTTTCGTTTTTGTGAATTCCTCATCTAATTGCGTTCTGTGGCCCACATATACATATATTTGGACATCATCGTTGGATTTCTTCGGCACTTGGGCAAAATTTATATTTTATTAAATTTAATTTTTCCTCCAAAT